AGCATTCTCCTTTTGATAATCAATTTAGTAATTCTCATAACCTTTACTCTTGATGATCTGCTGATGTTGTAAAGAGAAAATTGATGTTGGTCACTCTTGGGAGCAAGAGGGTTAACGATAATGCAATAATACAAAAGGTTCGTGAGGAAACAAGTCTCTTTGAAGTCGCCAGGTTATATCATTTTGACTGGATGAACAAACAATGGTTATTCCAAATTAGGGAACTTCTCTGCCATTCACACTTTTTACATTGCCATAATGCATCTTGCTTCAATTTACCCCTAACTTACTTCCACGTAAGAATTGTTTTCAATCCACCGTACGGAAAACGATGGCGGCTGTACATTTTTCCACAATTTCTTTCGAACCTAACACGGCCAAAATGTTATTTTTGGGGAGAGGGGTGGGCGAAATTCGTCCCTGTAATAGCAACATTGCCTATCCTAGGTTTTAAGTTTATAAAACTTTTCTGTGCGTTTATGAGCAATTTTAAGGTCTTCATGCGCTAACAACTGTGGATAAATGTACCAGTCGGCATCTTTTTAGGTACGGTGGATTTTCCCTGGGCATTGCAGTCGTCCCAAGAGAAATGGAAGACAATGCTTCAAAATTGTGGGGTTAAACATGGTTTAGTAAGAGTAGTATAAAAATGGGGCAATTGTAGTCCCTTTCTTGCTGTTTTATGGTTTTTAATCATTCCACAAGCAATAGTCAGTCAAAGGACTGACGACAGATTGGGTCTCGTCGTTTGTTGGTAAGTAGGTAAATGTTTGGATGGTTTGCTAATGGTCACCGGTCACTTTTTTGGAGGACAGTCCATATATTGACTCTTGTTTAAACCTCTCTAGAACGGCCACGTTTCTACATCGGCCACTTTCTTCTGTTATCAAAGTGGCCGTTGTCGAGAGCTTCAACTTTATCTGCATGTAGACGTTCTGAGAATTCTTTCCAGTTTCACTTAGTGATCTGTTTCTGTATCTCAGGTTACCTTATACCTGCCTGCCTGATGGTAGCTACAAGTTATGTTGGCTACAACTCCACCAGCCTGGCTGTTGTTTTATTTTCACTGGCCCTAGGGGCCTCTAATCTTAATGCGGCTACCTACGGTGTCAATCATTTGGACATCGCTCCTAGATTCTCGGGAGTTCTGATGGGAATCACAAACTCAGCGGCACCAATTCCAGGGATCATTGGACCTTTTGTAGTAGGACTGTTAAAGGACAATCAGGTATGTTTTTCGAGAAACGATTACGTTGTGTTCAGACGGGGCTGGTTCTAATTAATGGATCTAATCTGATATTGGATGGTGCCATTTCTGTGCACATGGGATTGATCTGTCGACGAAAACCGGCCCGTTGTTGTCCCCTTTTTTTGACAACAGTGAGTGATTAGAGCAGTTTTCTAATAAGTCGGGTCTTAATTATAACCGGTAAAAGCAGGCGACGATTGAACGTTCTTGCTTTCAATACGGCACAACTAACTCAGAGTACGGGTGAATATGCAGTCTCTTTATTTGATGAGGTTCGCAAACACAGTCATCATTGTAGCGTTTGAAAGGCTCAGGTTTTTGTCCGATGTATTCAGAGAAAAATACTTCAGTGTCATTAAGTAAAGAATTAAGAACTCAACCAGTTTGTCAACTCGGTCTATCAACTCCCTCCCCCTCCAGGGTTAAAAATATAGCTTGGAAATTCCTGAAATTTTCTTCGCTTTTCCTCGACACCAAACCTTCAATAAGCAGTAACGGCTTTTGTAGAAGTGTGCACTACAATCCTATTAATTGTCACGGTTGCCTCTTCCATTTATCTGTCGCATTTTTAGACTTCGACAACTATTTAGTTAGTCTATTTACTTGCCGCG